AAAAAATATATATATTTTGTTAATATACGGCTAACATTGTCATTGTCACATCTTTGCTCACCAATCTATGCCAGTGACATACAGTGACAAGTAGAACTGTTGAATGCTCTTCCACTAGATGGCAGAAGGAACGCTGAAACTGTGTGTCCAACAGTTGACATTAATACAAAAGAATACTATCATAGCTATCCTCAAATGGCCACAGGCTTCACTCGGAATTTGTAAATTTGTCAGTAAAGCGAGACAAGATCATCATTATTTCAGCATATATACTTTATTGTGACATCTGATGAATTTCAATGGAACCTAATTTAGCCCAAACTATTAGTAATTAACATTAAAACAATTTTGAAGGGTCCGCGACACCAAATCAGCCAGCTCGCAATCTCTGAGTATGTTATCTCCCGATTTATGTGTAATTAGAGCTCAAGTTACAGCACTGGAGCGATTCATAAGTGCATTTGCTTGACCTTTGATCTGTCAGAACCTCTTCATTACCTTAATCAGAAGCTCGCCCGAACGGAGGATGTAAGAAACTAATTTCCTGTAATACGGCTGATGATGACAGTTGTGGAGGAGCAAGTCTGAGAACCTCACTAATGACATCACTTGGTGTCCGTGCAGACCATGTCTTTGTAAACAGTCAACATGACGCCTGCCTGTCCACTGCTAAGTGATGTCAGGCGTCGCACATGATTTTTGGGCGCAGAATTAAACAGATTGGGAAGTTGTTGGCAGTAGCACATGGTTCGAATGGGAGAGGTGATGAGGGGGGGGGTTCAACAAGAAAGGATCTGTGTGCCTTTGATATCTTTTTTTTTTTTCCACGCTTCAAAGACAAAGTTTTTTTTTTTTTTTTTTTTTTTTTTAATAAAATCCTCTCCTTCCTTGATAGAAAGTTTGGAGGGAGTATTTTTGATATGGTCTCCGTTAGATTGATTTCAGCATCGGCACCATCACAATATTTCACTTCAATTTTGCAGACACAAAGGGAAGCACTTCTGCAAAAGCACAAACACAACAATTGTGTGCAGGCACCTTGTACAGTTGCACTCAAAATGATTGAAAGCCCTTTGCAAGTTTATATTCCTTCCCAAAGGTTATGAAGCTACAGTTTTTGATGAAAAAAAAAATAAATGAAGCACACTTTCAAGCTCAGCCAGTGGTTTCACTGATTAATTGACTAGTTGACATTAGCATCCCATATTGATATCTAGTTATGGATGACAACAATGGTTAGCCTTACGAGCTTTGGCTATTTACATCACTGTTAGTCCTAAAACGGGGATGGGCAACTGGCGTCTGTGCCAACATTCTTGGTGGCCCCTGATCTACAAAAAAAAAAAAAACATTATAAAAATGCTTCCTCTACTGTAATGGAATCCCCACATACTTTCAGTCAAACACCTGTGGATTAATTTATTCACAGATTTTTTTTCAATATCTTTATATATTTTTTTGTGGGAGCCAACCCTTGATTTTCATGAGAAACACATGTATGTGGTGGTTTATGAGCATTTTTGAGGGTTTCCAACAATAACATTGTTATTTATGTATGTATTTTTATTTATTTATTTATTTATCGCCATATTTTTTTTCTTTTTTACTACATTAAAATGGGTCTCAGATTTGCACGATCCATATTTTGTCTTTATTTAAATACCCGTTGTGAGGAAATAAGGCAGCGACGCACAGTCAAGTTCTGTCCTCGCTGCCACAACATGATGTCCAATAATTGGCTGACAACAACTGCGTGATAACGAGGACTTTTATCGCAGAAATTGTGTGAAGCAACTCTCACCAACATCCCGACACTTGCGTCAGCGCATACGGGCAACGTATGCTACAGACGCTTGGAAATATTTAACCAAAAACGACATTTCCTGGCATGATCGCTTGCAAAGTATGAAAGTTTATCCTCATATAAGACAAAGCACAAGTGAAACAGAGAAATGATTCTTCGAATGTTAAATCATGATTAATCGATTTTAGCTCGCTTGCTCTCGGCAAATTAGCATCAACTACAAAAAAAAAAAAAAAACACTTTTTTTGGAAACTTCTGATGAACATTTTATAACGGCGCCCACTTTAAATTTTCACTGGGATATTTTTATGAAGCTTGTCTTCAACATTTTGCATTTTACCGTTTTGCAGCGCCACCATCATATCCGCAATGATTTTGAGTGCACGTCTTACTTGTCCTCGAAGACAAGAGCGGCACGAGCGATCTCCCTTTTTGTCATGAATTTGGAAAGAGGACTAAGAGTGCGGTATGACCATGCAAGACTATAACTCTTATTAACGCCGCAGCACATTTACCAATTAGCTCCATTGTTAACCATTCCGATAACACCTCTTGCATAATGAGCTAGATTAGCCTTTTATCGAGATGAAAGACTCAATTTTCAGATTCCTCAGAAATGAGTTTGGCGGCGTGATTCATGAATTTCAATTAAAATGAAAAGACCTACTCCCGTTTGATTATGCAGTCCCCTTTTTTTGGGTGGGGGTGGGGGGGGCGGCATTCAGATCTCTGGATGAAGTGTGCACTTCATCTTTCCTGGCTGGGCAAAACTTAATTTCCATGTTTCCTTTTGTGACACGTTTGCATTTCCTTTTCCTGGTCGCTGATCAAAATTTGCTGATTGAAACAAAATCAAATCAGCTCGTTGTGGTGACATTGAATTCGTCTCCTCATTTTGAACACTCTGCATATTGCGGCCTCATTGATTACAGGTAGTCGATCTCGCACCTTGGTCAGCACAAATGGTGAAGAGACTCCTCTCGCATCCCCCCCCACCCCCCCCGCTTCATTTTAATTAGACTCCCTCCTTGCGCAGAATACTGATGCTCAGAAATCTGCTCTGCATTATCTTTCAATCTCTGGTTTACCGTTTTTGCCTCGGGAGCATTTCCGTGATTAGCAGCGGCTTGTGGCTGTTTGGGATTCTCCCTTTTCCTCCCCCTTTTCCGGCCTCATCTCTCCTGCCGGCAGCCGACCCTAATCGAAGGCTGATTGAGTGATAATCTATAGATGTACAGTTCAGGCATGCTGCCAGCTCCCACTGACCTCTCTGCCTGCAGGATGAGCGCCATGATATCCCACACACAGCTGGGAAAATCAACTCAAGGCTTAGTGTGGCCGTCGTATTCTCTTACCCCGAGCTATACTATGAGGAGAAGAAAACAAAAAGGCAGAATTTGGACGCGGTCCAATCGGGATCAGGCGTCTGTTTGTTTCGCTGCCCTTGGTTGTCTCATTCTGCCACAGGCCAAGTGCGCCAAGTACTGATTCCCATCATGCTTGCGTTATTTCCCCAAGATAAGAGAATGTCTTAACTCCGGCCAGCCTGATGACCTTGTGTTCCAAATTTGCTCTTTCATGCTAAGTGCCCATCTCTGTGATGGATTTTATTTTGTTCCGTAAAACAACAACAACAACAACAACCCCCCCAAAAAACTGAAAAATCACTTCTCAGCGGATCGTTCCAAACTCCCCGAACATGCTCACAGGAATACAAAGAGGATCCAAACGGTTGGGTGCCGTGTTGCTCAATAAGAATGATCAAGACAACACACGCACTTAGCAAACACCGCAGCCTCGCTGTATTCTACAATGAGAACATGACAAAGCACTGGCTGATCAAATTAGAGGGGATTTACGGCCCGCTCTGTCATGCCTCCGCCTGCTGATAACAGCTCGATCTGCAAAGTAAAACTGTGATAAACTGAGATGTTGATTAAGGCCACACTCTCTGGAGAAATTGTTTAGTTCGCTGTCAAATAATGGAGATGGATATTGAATATGAGTGTTTAACAACGCCGCATTTTCCGGCGTTCCAACTTAAACTGCTGGCTGCGCAGAAGCTCATTCAGCATTTAAAGACAAACTTAATATGAGCCCGCATTACACACGGTGCCCAATGCTGCTTCCTTATAACCGTTTCGACATTGTACGTCGTATGGATGTAGATCAGCGGTAGTCAAACACACCGAGTACCACCATCGTGACCGACATTAACATACAGTAGAATAGTAAGCCTAAGTGTTCTTAAAAAAAGATATTTTATCCCCCCCCCCCCAAAAAAATAATAATAATATAAGCCACTGTAACATTATGCACAGTTTGAACGGATTCTGCACTTAAAATATAGAAAAACAATCACTTCAAATACTCAGACGTGCTCCCACATTCCCCAAATGCATGTTCGGCCAAAGACTGGTCGGTGGCTGCTGCTCATTTGTGGGTGCTGGGGTGCTACCCCACCACTCAGCTGAATATGACATATGAAGCAATGAAAATGAAAAATTGAAATAAAACTATTTTGAAATATATAAGTACTTCGATTGTCTCTGTTGTCTGTTACACAAATCGATTTACTATTGTAAAAAGATTGACAGTGCAAACACAATATCTCCTCCGCAATGCAACAGATAGGACCAAGGTGGGGGGGGGGGGGGCTACATTCCAGTATCTCGAACTGGCTGACTGTTCAATCACCGACACAGTCCAGGGTGACCTTTGCCCTTTGCCCAATGTTAGCTGGGATAGGGATAATATGCTTTTGGAAATGGATGGATATTTCTCAAAACAATCCACCATCAGAGAAAGTGCTGTATCAGTGCCAGGACATGTGTTGTCTCACATCGAGGTATCTTGTTGCCAGACACTCTGCCACTATGTGAAAACGTAACACAGTTGCATCAGTTGTCTCCTCTGATCCTGTTAAAAGTCAAATGTGGATAGATGTTAGGTATTTTTGCTGTGACTCTTAACACGGGATCACTGTGTTTTAGTGCCTCTTCGGTATGTAATTAATTAGGACAATATTGAGGTTTTGTTAAAAAAAAAAAAAAAAAACAACTAAACATTATTTGCTATCGCTGTTTTCATGGTACGGTTTATTAGTGCTGTAATGATGTTTTACACTTGTGCATGTGTTTTTCTCCCTCGTAATCCATACTGGTGCTGACGTGTGTGCGCCTTTGTGTGGTTTCAGCTCTGTGCACCGAAGAGTGCGTTCACGGCCGCTGCGTGTCTCCTGATACCTGCCAGTGTGAGCCAGGATGGGGCGGACTGGACTGCTCCAGTGGTGAGTGCACCTCCCTCCTTCAGTCACTAGAAGTTACTTAGACTCATTTATGCCTAAATGGCTTTCACAGCCTGTTAAGTTTGGTAGCATTTGCCTCAGTGTCCGCCTATCGCAAAGCTACTTAGCTTTGTATCCTCTCTTCTTTGCAAACACAGCCAATGGAACACGTAAGTCCCAATGAATTCATTTTCATTTGCTGGAAGTGGAAGTGATATGCTTGATGAATCTAACGGATGGATGGATGGCTGCAGCCCCGCTGCGTCTCACACGAGCTCTCTCTTATGATCTTAATCATGATTACACTGGTGCCTGTGACTTGTGGCTGTGCAAGGGTAAATCAATGCCGCGCTCGAACAAGCCATGATGACGGCTGTTCTATTTAGTGGCTTTTCAACGTAGTGTCAGACAGCAGAAAAAAAAAAAACGATGCCTCTATAAACTTCTCTGATCATATTTCGACATTAAAATAAATGGAAATGCAATTATTCTCTGTTCTAGGCTTACTAAAGAACAACCACAAAAATGTCGAGGAGTTTTCCCTCAGAAGTAAATTGCGCGATATAATGTTGCACTTTATAAAATATAAACTTATTTTCATGCCCAGCCAAGTCTAGTGCAAAGTGAAGTCTAAGTGTGCATGTGGGTGGCGTTTTCTAGCCGCAGCAAGAAATTGACGTTTGCGCCGTTGTGGGTGTGAACATGGCCAACTTGATCCCCACCCAATCGAAGCGGCTCCTTCACATTAGCTTTTAATTTAGGCGCGGAGTCTACATGGCGGAAGCGTCACGAACTTGCTCACTGGAATCCAGTCCGGAGATCGGCACGCGCACAGGACAGATAAGAATACCTTTATTTGTCTCACAATGGAGAAATTCCCAATTTACAGCAGCAAAATTATGAAAGGGAGAAAGTAGAAGAACAAAAAGTATATAAATATAAAATATAAATACAAGCATATTAAAAATGGGTGAGTCCAGTTTTTTTCAGGTCCGTCTATTCAATAGCCTGACAGCAGTCGGCAGGAATGAGCGGTGGTGCCTCTCCTTCTTGCAACGCGGGTATATCAGTCTCTGGCTGAAGGAGCTGCCCGGTGCTGTCAGGGTGGCCTGGAGGGGGTGGGAGGGTCTGTCCATCATAGCTGTTAGCTTAGCTAGCATCCTCCTGTTGCCCATCTCCTCCAGAGTGTCCAGGGAGCAGCCCAGGACAGAGCTGGCCCTCCTGACCAGTCGATCCAGTCTCTCTCTGTCCTCGGCTGAGATGCTGCCTGACCAGCAGACTATGCCGTAATAAATGGCTGAGGCCACCACAGAGTCATAGAAGGTCTTAAGGAGTGACCCCTGAACTCCAAAAGACCCCAGTTTTCTGAGCAGGAAGAGTTGTCCGTGTTGGTCGACCAGTCTAGTTTATTGTTGAGAAGAACACCCAGGTACTTGTTCCTACATGTAGTTAAGTGCCAGAGGATTTTAGATGATCTCTGATGAAATAATCAGTTGAGGTATCAATGTATGTGAATGTTATCGTGCTTACATCGCACTCACTATTACTCCCCGAGCACTTTCCGAGCTGGATTGACACTTCAAACATGATGAGCTTTGAAAATGCAGACCACACTGCCAACTAGTGTCACGCCGGTGTAACTGTGGAGCAGCGCCGCCTCCCCAGAGCGCAAAGTATAAACTCACACAACACATTCTCGGTACACAACAATAAATCAACCTGTCAGTATAAAGAATGAGAAATTATATCAGTAGTGTTAGTGTATAGATCTATGAATTTTCATTAGCAAGAAAGCCATTCTCTGATGAGCAGATGCGTGTAAATCACCCGCTCCTGCAGTCGTTTTCAGGCTTGCCGTGGGTTCAAGTGTAGGCGTCCTCCCCGCCCCCCCCACACGGGCGAGGCTGCAATAAGGGAGTGCGTGACGCTTTTGGGTCTCCCCCAAGAGACTCTTGCCCCACTCTTGGTTGGTTAGAAGTGCAGCTGTGCGTGCGGCGCGGCGTGCAGGTGCTTTGCTAATCCAACTTATTAAGACTTGAGCAGTGAAACAGCGGCATTATTCATAACTCGCAGGCGCCATTCCAGGCTTTTCATTTACAAGCTTTCATCTGTTAAAAATGCGGAATCTCTGCCAATTCTCAAATTAAATCTAGCCTCCTTTTTGTAGTGTAAATGGCATGTCTTTTTTTTTTTTTCTGCATACGTTTCCAAGCCCAATATAGGGGATATAGTGTTATCAGCCTCCTTATATCTGCATGGCTCTCCCAGGCTGCAAAACTGGCACACTTGCATTCCATCGTTGTAGAACGTTTTCAGGAAAGGCATTTCAGCTCCTATCAAAGCCAGTTTTCTCATTTGATTGGCCGAGAGAGGGCACAACGCGAGGTGGTCACGTCACAAGGAATGTGCGAATGTGATTAAAAAAGCATGTCACCCAAGCTTGGAGATGAAGTAGGATGCTCAGCGGCCTGAAGCTAAAGTGACGGCTTTCCAGCCAGTGATTTGGCTCCCGATCAAAGGCTTGGACCTGGTTTGTGGAGCAGCACCTGGCAGGAAGTTGTTTTGTTTACGTGTCAGGCGGCGAGGGGGGGACTCAGACTGTTTTTTTGAGGGCCAGCAAAGAGAAGGCGATAAGCTCCCTGAGATTCACCAAGTTGTCTTGTGGCTGAAGATATCGACTGTTTTTTGGGGTTTTTTTTTTTTTCCCTTTGCCGCCTACTGGGATCCACCTGCCGATGCCAGAAAATATTTCATCCTCTGCCTGGTCTTGAAGCGAGAGTCCCACTGGGACCAGAGCTGCCCTGTGACCTGCGTGGAGTCCTCGGGGGTGCTCTTCCACAAGGACATGTTGGCTAATGTAAAAGATTATAGAGAAGGACAAAACAGGATGTTTCTTGTTGAATGTCACCATTCTGAGTTGAGTTTTGAGTTTCCCAGAGAAATGGATGAAAGAATGTTGAATTGTTGCCGGTGCTGCCGGTGTGTGTGTGTGTGTGTGGTGTTTGTGCTCTTGAACATTCAATATTCTCTTGTCATCGTTTTATGTTTCTCCTCTCAGTTCACAGTGCACAACATTAAAACGCATTTTTATCTTTTCATTTGGGCTATAAAGCTCACGCTTTCGATTGTTTTGCTGTCTTCTGCTTTATGATCAATTCTGTTGTGATGCTGCTCAACAACCGTTTTCACTTTTAACCCTTTTACGCACCCTGTGAACCCGATAACATAGTAAGCTGTCCACTGTCGTAACCGCTGTACCTGAAAGGATTAAAACTGAAACATTGGCGGTGAACGGGCGTCGGAAAATGATCCCATTTGACCGAATTTGGCTGATCATCATTTTTCGAAATGACAAATCCAAATGTTAATTCTACTGACACAGATTTCTCATTATTTAGATTTGTACTGGTAAGTAAATTGAGACAGGCTAATCATGATTTCATGTCACCATTCATACTTTTTGTGACATTTTTGTCCGATAGTGTGTGTGTATCAGTTTTCCGAAAGCCTTGACTCAATCAAGGCTGCAATGGAGGTTACTTTGTACATTTTTTTTTTAAATCTTATTGGTTAATTTTGTAATACATCTTTGGAGATAATTATTCATGCATATTGTGAGGCGGTGAGTTAGTTAGTTAAAAAAAAAAAATCGGGGATTTGTTTACTGTATAGGGCTCGCTACACTGGAAAAAAAAAATCTATGGATATACTGAGGTACATTGATTGCACATGATTAAAATGTGGCAAGCAGGTGAAATTTTCCAGTGTTTTCCTCAAAAATGAGCAAATGATAAGTCTTAGTTTAATACATTTTAATCGTGCAACCGACAATAGTTTTTCTTTTGTGTGTACACCTGCATTTCTCTTGCTCCTTTCTCAATATATTACAGTATGTGGTTAAATATATATTATATGTATTGAAATATTTTGTGCTCTTTTGAAAGTGTTTTAAAGACCTTTAAAAATTTGAATGTCATAAATGCTATAAAAACATGCAGAGGGAGTTTTTAAATAAGGTATTTCGATGTCGTGGATTTCACTTAATGGGGCAGTCTGGAATGTAAATGGAGGGTTAATTACAGTCCATCATGGAAATTTGCTCAATTTCCACTCCTCCCGAGAGCCAATAAAATTAAGTCAAAAGTAAAACAGACAAAGCATCATGATCAAATCTAGTTGGTCAGCTAAGGTCTATGAGGTAACATACCCCTCCCCAAATGAGACTTGTGTCCATGTAACACACATTTTATTGATTGAATTCAACCTCAGCGGACTGAAGGCAAATTGCGACAGACATGGTGGGGGGGGGGGGGGCTACTGACATCATGTTAATTGTCAAATATATCATTGACATAATTGCATATTAGAATTTGGAATCTGTGTTGTTTAGTCATAGCCCGTCATGAAAGACACGGCGAGGAGCAACACCAACTAGTTGAACCATAAACATGGAGCCAGACCTGATACATGCAGCGAGAATGTACTTTGAAAAGACTGCTGTTAGGATTCCCTCTGGCACCCATCAACAATATTTACACATTATTCTCAGAAGTGCATGTAAGCCAGATGGTTCCCCTCCTCTCCCACAGCAGCAGGACATTGACATGCATCATCGTCAAAGACCTACAGGATGCAAATGACACGATCCGGGCGCGACATGCATGCACAGAAAGACTCAAGTCAAGTCAGTTCTCCATTTGTATCTTGATGCATGCGCTTCAATACAATTCCAGCATGCTAACATTTTAAAAAGCACCATTTCAGTTGTCTTCAAATAAAAACACTTTTTTTCCCCCAAATCCAATCGTTTTTTTGCTGCACCCCTAATATGCACATATATGGTGTGTATAAATGCACATATAACAATATGACTTTTTAAATATAAGAATCCTCAGTTTTGATTGATACCTCTGCTTCGCTATGCTTGTTTAGCAGTAGTGTAGGCGTGCACGGCATCACGCTGAGAGGTGTTTCTAATATATTGCCTCCTCATGTTACCTAATGTGAAAACCCCTCTTTGCAGAATACAGTGAAGTTAAAAGTCTATTTCTAAAAATATTGTGAAATGAACACTTTTGAACATTTTCAACACCTCCGGATTTGGACGTGATAAGATGTCACTGCTGCTGTAGTGATGCACTCTCCTGACTTGTGTGTAGGCAGTGTGGCT